AAAGTTTGAATCCAGTGGCACCCTTAAGACCAACAAAGTTTTATTCAAGGTATGAGCTTCCATGTGCACGCACACTTCCTTTGTATCTGAGGAAGTGTGCCTTGCAAACGGAAGCTCATACCTTGAATAAAACTTTGCTGGTCTTAAAGGTGCCGTTGGACCCACACTTTGTTCTTCTACTTCAGACCAACCCATCTACCCACCTGAATCTATTGGGGAAATGTTGTCAGTCATCATTACATCCTGTGGTAGTGAGTTCCAAGGACCCTAGTGTGAATGCAGTTATTCTGAAACACTTATGGCCCATCAAGGCAACACAGCCCACTAGTGATTAATGGCTGGCTCTCCGTGGGGATTAGATAGCCTCCTCACTGGGGGCTGGCCTGGAAATACATGCGGAAGTCATCAAGCACTTGGGAAGCTGCAATACATCAAGCACTTGGGGAGCTGGTGGGGAATGCATTCGACTTTTGGACGACTAGTTGCACAGGCCAGGTGAAAGGGCTGCCTCGGGCCCTCTTCCCATTAGCAGAGGTGTCTGAGTCTGATGCAGAGTCCCTCTGCCACATCCTCAGCCCCCGCCTTCCTTGCAGGGTCGGCAGCAAACCTTGCTCTTTTGGAATGTAGCGCCTGCTTCTCTAATGATTCCTTTTCTGCAGACTCTCTCTGCTAGTATAGACTCTTCTTGCTCTTCTGTTTGTTCCGCTCTGTAGCGAGATGAAGGTTCAAGGCCTTCTTCTCAGGCCGTGCAGGCTGATTCCGGCCATCGGGTAGAAATGTTGCCATCGCTTTAGATGTAAGTGGGTCTTGGCTGCAACCCACAGCTTGGCTAGCTCCTCCAAGGTCGTAGGTTTGAATCCCACTCAGGGGGTGGAACGGGGAGACGCTGGCCGTGTCATTAGTGTGACCTTAAAATGTTTCCAAAAATTCTGGTGCAGAGTTTGACTATTGTCGGGAAACTGTCTGATATTGGAGCCAGCGGGCCATTTACTTGCTGGCAACATTCTTTAAAATGACCTTTCGCGGGGTGGGGTAGGTTGATTTCTCTCCAGCTGCTGGGCGCAATGACCTTGGGCAAGCCATAGTTCTGGCACAGCTGTTCTTGAAAGAGAACAGTTTCTGTCAGAGCTCTCTCAGCCCCACCTACCTCACAGGGTGTCTGTTGTGGGGAGGGGAAGAGAAAGGAGTTTGTAAGCCACTCTGAGACTCCGAGTGAAGGACAGGGTATAAATCCAATCTCTTCTTCTTCTTCTATGAAATGACCCCTGCTCCCATTCAAGTACTACCCAAGACCAACCCCCTTTAAGTCCGGCATAAGACCAACTGAACCCCACAACAGTTCAAGACAAGCAGAGGATTGACTATCCCTGTCTGTCCCACTTGCTCCAGGTGGCAGTGGCACAAGTAGGGCCAGTTTGGTGTAGTGGTTAAGGGTGTGTACTCTAATCTGGGAGAACCAGGCTTGGTTCCCCACTCCTCCACGTGCACCTGGCTGGATGACCTTGGGCAAGCCATAGTTCTGGCACAGCTGTTCTTGAAAGAGAACAGTTTCTGTCAGAGCTCTCTCAGCCCCACCTACCTCACAGGATGTCTGTTGTGGGGAGGGGAAG